GAAGGAAGGAAGGAAGGAAGGAAGGAAGGAAGGAAGGAAGGAAGGAAATAAAATAAGTGTCATTAATCATAATATCCTTCTGGATCAGCATTGGATATTAGAATTAGGAATGGGGTGGGGGGCGGAATGGTGCTACTCCCTGTGGGGCTGGTTCCAATTATATTGGTAGGGAGACAGGTCTAATTTTAGGCCTTTGCTTTGCGAGCTGAGGTGGTTCATTGGTAAGGGATTAAGCAACATCAATATACTGATGATGCTTAGTTGCACATATTTATCCCTGGCCAACCAAGTGATTCCATCTAGATTCTTTCCCAGTGTTGATGAGGATCTGGAGGAAAAATAGGCTTCAAAATGAAATGATTGTGAGTTTTAGGGCTCCCCAGAGGACTTTCCATCATTAGTTCTGGATAGGGTAGAACTAATATACATTGGGGATCTTCTTGCACTCATAGCTCCTATCCCATAATTATTGCTATGGCTAGAAAAGTCTTTCAGCAAACCTCTGTTATGCACTAATTGCACCAGCTCCAGGATTGGTAAGCCCTGTCATGATCCCTCAAACTTGATCACCTCCCATTTGGACTATTACAATGCAAACTACATGTAAATATCCTTGAAGACCACCTGGAAGAGACAAATGGTCCAGAATGAAGCAATGTGGTTAGGGGCTTTGAGGGGTTCTTCTTTGAGGCATTGGGCTAGGATGTTGGACAAGCCTGTTGTGTAAGAGTTAAGAGTGGTTGCAGTTAACAATATATTTCCTTATTAAAGTTTATTTTGTTGCCTTGTTTATGTGTTTTTCTGCTGATGCTAGCTGCTGAAAGTCACATTGTGAGTTGGACGGCCATACAAACTGATTAGTAAATTATTAATAACATAGTATCTTTTCCTACTTAAACCAGAAAGATGGGAGATTGCACAATGTTGGAACAAATGTTTTCCATTTGGAGCTAGTTAATAAAAGTTTAATGGAGTTCTAATGACAGTAACTTATTACAGCCAAGTTATTAAAGTATAATCAGATGCTCTCTGAAATTCTGAACCTATTTTCCCTCCGTGGGTCAACAGATACCTTAGTATACCTCCCTTAAAAACATGTATCCTTTTGCAAGGACTTAATGTACAATGAAACAACTGCAAGATACTGGAGGATGGCTAAATACATTATTTTTTGCTGAGCAATGGCCATATTCTTATGTTTTCTTGCTTATGTTTAAATCTGTGATTGTGATATAAACTTACTAAAGGAAAAAAATATAAAGGGGGAGGAGCTAAAACTCAGTGGTAAGAGTACATGATCTATATGTAAATGGTCTTAAATTTAACCCCTAGTAGGATTATAAAAATATCTGGTTTGAAAAGAAGGGCTGTGGGTAAGTCAGCAAAGCCAAGATAGTACCAATAGCGATAGACACATTGGGAACAATCCCAAAATAGTTGGAATACCACCTTCGGGTATTGACAAAATCGTCATCAGTCAACTGCAAAAGTCAGCTTTGCTTGGAACAGCTTTAACTATAACACCATCAAATAATTTCTGCCTATCCCAGGTCTTTGGGAAGGACTTGATGGTTGGATAAAATGGCAAATCCTAGCTAAACATCTGACTGACTGTATGACCAACCATAATAAATAGCTAAACCAACATAGAATGAATAGAATGGAACAGTTTACTATATCCCATGGAAGTCTGTAGCAGAGTTTGCTAGGTAATTCCGTATTTAGTAATTTAGAAAGAATCTTCCAAAGTTTAAATAATGTAGATGAAAATTCTTTGTTTTTAATTGTTCAAATATTTAGGTCACACCTATTTTATCATCAAAAGACAAAACGTTTTCCACAGCCTGCATACATTAATATACAACTAAAATATGTTAGTAACGTTGTTATATTATATATGAAAGTCTTCAGTCAATAAGGATGTTTATATACTTACAAAATCACATAAATAATAAACATAAAAACAAATTTGACAGAATAATGTACTTATTATAATCATGTCTTTTAATATAGTTCAACAGAAGTTACTTTCTAGGTTGAATGGATGTCTGAAATGATAATTTTACTGAAAATTCAAGAGTAGTCCTTATTTTGATGCCTCCACAGTCCAAATACTACTTCTTAACATTGGATACATTTAAATGTTTTGTTTAAGACAAAAAGAGAAAGCATTGATGAAATGGTTAAAGCAGTGGGTTAGAAACTAGAAGACTGTGCATTGTAGCACTGCTTCAGGCATGAAGCCAGCTGAGTGACTTTGGGCCAGTCATTCTCTCGCAGCCCTAGTAACAAGGCAATGAAAATCACTTCTGAAAAACCTTGCCAAGAAAACTGCACAAACTGGTCCATGTAGTTAAAGGAGTCAAGACTAACTTGAAAGCACTTTATAAAAGCAATCACAATAGGTACCATATAGTGTCTGTATTTGCTATTTATTCTGATATTTCATGTTAACTAGCTGGAAACTGAATATAACGGTGATAGTTTTATTTTGTGAAAGGAAATATAAAGTAAGCAACATTATATTTAATGTACAATATAAATATTAATTATTTTGGAAAGCTATCCTATTTTATTGTAAAATAAATTAACTCCATTGCACATTTTAATCAGAATTTCTGCAGCAGAAATATTTTGTCACATGGTGCAAACCTTTAACAGTCAACAAGTAATAAATGTAGGATTTTAAAGGTCATTTTACAAGTTATTAAGATAAGATGCTCTCTTTTTCTTTTTTTCTCCTGGTGCAATTTTCTCCTTTTTCTCCTCTATACCAGGGGTGTCAAACTCGTGGCCCGCGGGCCAGATATGTCACATGCTGGCCCCAAGTCCTGCCCGGTTTAGCGAAGGGGGAAAAAATTCTGATATGTCACATGATGCCGCAGTGACAACACAACTTTGACACCCTTGCTCTATACAGTGAATTTTATCAATTTACATTTTATTATATTACATAATGTCAGTAGATAAGGAAATTAATTCAATTTTTAAATATATAGCAGAGTTTTTGTATATTTGATATAAATATACATAATAAATTACAAATTGCCACATGTAATTCCGCTTGGTTAGATACAACTCTAGTATACAGATTTGTTTCAGTTTTATCTTGCCTAAACAGTCATTAATGATAAATGTCAATTTTAATAGTTGACCTGAAGGAATAATTTAGTCTGCCATAGAAAAAGCAAAGTCCTGAGATTGGGATGTAATATTACTATTATGCAGCTCCAACAGATATAATCTTCCAGACAAGATTTTCAAGTTTTGACCAGTGGTGGAATTGGAAAAGATTCAGAGAGTATGAGTCATAGAAATAATAGACAAAGACTCTCCATGTTTAGAACAAAAATCAAAGACATCAGAAGTCCATTTAGATTATCTCTGCCATCTGCTTCCAACAATAGCCTGCCAGATGCTTATAGGAAACCCACAAACAAGACACGGGAGGCAATGTGTGTTTGCATGCAAGAAACTGAAGTTCAGAAATGTACTGTTTCTTAATATGTAAATGCTTGCTTGATTATCAGAGTTAATAGTCTGACAAATCTATTCTCCAACAAATTCAACAAATTTATCACATTCAACTAATTCAACAAATTCATCCATTCATCTCCAACTAGTTCAACAAATTCATCACATTTTAAGGCAACAAAAATTATATATATATATGTTATTCAGCTTTGTTCGGGTATTTTCCCACGTCATTATAGTTGTGCTTTTAAAGTTGTAGCAACGTTTCGGCAGAATCTCATCTGCCATCATCAGGCTTCTGTATTGTGTTCGTCTGTGAGTCAGACTTTTACAGTTGTTTATAGTTGTTTTACAGTCTGACTCACAGACGAACACAATATAGAAGCCTGATGATGGCAGATGAGATTCTGCCTAAACGTTGCTACAACTTTAAAAGCACAACTATAATGACGTGGGAAAATACCCGAACAAAGCTGAATAACATACATGTAAGTACCTGCGAAAACTTATATATATATATATATACACACACACATACACACACACACACACACACACACATGCTTGCACTGGCACAAAGCCGAAAGCACCAGCCTGAGGATGGCAAGTGGGACCTCACCGAAATGTTGCCAAGATACTCTTAATCTTACACGAGAAAAGACCCGAACACACCTAGACCTACATACCTGTATCTGTGAAAATCTACTATATATATATATATAAACAACCCTTCAAGTTACAATGGCACTGAAAAAATGACTTACAACTGGTATTTACACAATGGTCACATTATTAAAATCCTGATACTTGTCAATCAGCATGTTTTTTATGACAATCCCAGAATCTTGTGATCATCATCTGTGACCTTCCTAGCCATTTCTGACAAGCAAACTCAACGGGGAAGGCTGAATTTGCTTAACAACCATGTAATGTGATTCACTTAACAATGACAGTGATTTATTTATAATAATGGCAAAAAACATCATAAAATTGGGTGTGACTCACTTAACAACTGCGTCGCTTAGCAATGGAAATTCTGATCCCCAATTGTGATCGCAAGTCGAGGACTAAAGTTGCTGAGACAGTAAATTATAAATGTAATGACAGAATATATATAAGCATTAAAATATCCTTTTATTTCTCCCAAGTTGGACCCCAGGCCCTTTGAATCTGTCATACAACACGTATGTGCATGTTCGCATACTCACAACCAGACTGTGAACCAGTGGCTTAAGAGATATTAGTTCAGGGGGAAAAATGAGCTTAAATCTTTAATGACAGTAATAAAAGATTTAAGATACATACCAGAAACTGATAGATTCTTCAGTTAGCTGCATTATATAAAACATAAAGGTGGCAGTTGCTTTACTCTATAGATTCCTTTATTTATAAACAAATGTCACCATGATGAATGTTACATAAATTTAGCAACAAGAAAAATGCACTCATACACAAGAGGCCAGCAATGCCCATCCAATTGTCTGTCCTTACTTGAATGCAAAAGAGTTATGATTTTCTATTACGTTCTTTCCCCCTATGCTTACTATAGCCTTAACAATTGATTTTTTGTCCTCCCTCTTTTTTCTTTTCTCATGTTCCCAATTTGATAGTACTCTGAGGGAGGGACAAGCAAAACTCCCCGTTTCAAATTCTCTTGGTAGAGGCTGTTTTGATCTGACTACTGGCCCTGATTTGTTTCACATTTCAGCCAAAGTTTAAAACAGCTTGGTAATTCTAAGCAGATGAGCCTATGAGTCTAACCCTATAATTATACCTTCTCTCCTTACTTAGCCTCTAACTTCAAACCTTCCCTTCTAACTTCTAGACTCCCAGATCAGAGAATTTTAAAGTACACCTTGGCGTCCAGACATGTCTGTTTCAACCAGATATATTTATATAGCCTGAATAAATACCTTTTTTGAAAGCAGTCCTTTTATCTATAAAATGACAAGTTACCTAGAAGGTACCGATTTTTTAATCATGATGGAGTGGCATTTCTGCATTTGAGAGCGTCCAAACAGATGGAAAGGTAACATCTATGTGTTTAAAACACCTGTATAAAATCCACAGCTGTGTTCAAATGCTGATGTTAAATTTGTATTAATTTAACAGATACTGGATAACTATTCAGATACTCATTCATCCAATGAATAAACATTTCTATCAGATAACATTTAGAGTAAGGTGGAAAAATTGATGTTACTGGGTTAGAATTCCAATCATTCATTCATTTATCCTAGCTGGGAACTAGACCTCATAAGTGGAGAACCCGAGGTTCCTCAGTTATAACTTAAAATAAAACATTACAAACTTTTATGGACATTCTAAACTGGAGATCACCAAAGCTAGAATTTTATGAAATAAGCCCTGCTGCAAGAATATTAGCACTGTTCTTAACAATTTTTTAAAATCTATAGTTGTTTTTAATATACTTCTATATAAATATAAGCTCCTATACAAACTAAAAAGTCCTCTTGTCAATTAATAAATAAGAAGAAGAAGAGGGGTGAAAAGAGTAAAGGTTCCTCTATGGATGTATAGTGATTTGGAATTGGATGCAACAAGTAAATGGGCTTTTTGCACAGTTGAATTTTCCCTTACATTCCTCTCTCTAATTTAAATTTCCTGAAATTTGCTTTAGTGCAAAAGAGAAATAACAGAAAAAATATTTTTTTCTATGAGGAGATATTGGTCTGGTAATAGATAAAGAAAATGAGATACAATCTGGCTGCAGATGTAATCAAATTATTCAGAATGGAGAAATACAATAAAGATACAATACAATACAAAAAAATTCCTGAATATTGAAGGCACTCTCCTCATATTGAAAACATAGAATATAAAATCACAAACAGAATTTAAATGTGAAAATCATGTCAAATAATAATTCAGTAATACAATGCATAATTAAGATAGAAAATCCTAATCACTTGTACACTTTGATGATGTATGAAGCAGCTATAATTATTGGAAGACATTGGAATTGTAGCAGGAGAATACGAATACCAGATTTTACAGCAACAGTAAAAAAAACCTTTTAAAAGACTAAAAATAAGATAGATATATCATAATACTATTACAGACATGTGTAGTATTACATCATCTGCAATTTTAGTTACAGTTCTAGATATCCCATCTCAAAAATGACAGTAGAGCAATGGAAAAGGTGCAAAAATGATGCAGTTATTATCTTCCACTTGTAAAAAGACTAAAATAATGGACTTTACAGTCTAGAAAATAAGAAAACTGGAGAGCATCATGACAGAGGTACATTACATCACTAATAGTATGGAATAACACTGCAATACACATTAATGAACATTAAAGTCAAGGCAGGCCAAGAAATGTATTTTCTTACATAGCATGTACTGTAGCTTTTAGAATCCATTTCTATAGTATGAGGTTATATTCCTGTTTTAAAATGAATTTAAAAGATTTGGCAATAACAAAAAACCATATGTTTAAAAACAGTGCTCAGTACTCTTGGATACTAATTTGGGGATCAAACTAAGAAAGACCACTATGGGTTCATTACTCATTTGTGGAGTGCTGAGCTAGTCATTGCTGGGAACATAACATAAATTCTCCAAATGCTTGAAGTGATGCTGTTGTCACTTTTATGTACGTAATTTGTAGACTTGTAGACAAACACCCTCATTAGAACGTATCTTGGCATTTCATCATTAAATGAAAAAGAACTGTGACTGCAATATAACAATCATTTTATTAGTGAATCATGCATCTGAAGTAAACACTAGTTTGGGTTGGTGGCCTAAGACCCTTTATTCTAGGTCTTCTTGGAAGTAGAAGTCAACTTGGCCTCTCTATTAAGGCCATAGTGACATTAAGGTGCACATTTAAGAAAATAAAACTGGGCAGCTCTTTTATGAAACTTCTAAACAGGCAAAACTATATTAATATGGATAACAAAGCAAAATATCCAATTTCTCTCCACCTAAATATTGTATTAGATCTTTCAATATCTTATATATCAAATATGCAACAGACTTTATAATGAATGCATCTATACAGCAATTCCTGCTTTTGGAGCTGACATTTTTAATAAAAAAAAATCAGCCTCAGAAATATTGCATATTTAAATTGTTCACCAATGTGCCTCTTTCAGGGCATTGAGAAGCCTGGCTGACATGAGAATACCTCCAGTAAAAACTAGGCTAATGTCTCTAACCATTTGCACACCAAAAAGGAAACATTTAAAATATCATTTCCCATTACAACACAAAAAGGCTTGAAATGACAGAAGACAACCCATTGTTAAAGGGAAAAATATTGTTATCCATAAGAATTCTTGATTCTTAATGAGCGTACCTTTTCTTTATGTATACTGAGAGTATTTACACCAAGACAAATTCCTTGTGTGTCCAATCACACTTGGCCAATAAAGTATTCTATTCTAAAATAGAACAGCGTTTGCAAATGCATAGGAGTTTGAAGTTAAGGCAAGAAGTAGCCTTTCTACCTTTACCCTAAAGTCTGGCTAGAAGATATAAGAATTATTCTTGTTACAAGAATAACATAAAGATTATTACAGATGCATTGTTTCTTTCTGGAGTACTCACCATGCAAGAGCAGGACTAGGAACAGGTACCCAACCAAGACGCAGCAGGGATAGGACATTTCCAGCTTTTCAATAACTTCTCTATTCCAAACTTTTTTTTTTTGCGCCCTTAAAAAATCCTCTCTTCTTTTTTGCTTTAATCTCTTTCTTCCGCACCCCTGAAGTTCTTCCAAATCCCCCAAGTCCTCTCACGCACACGAAGCTGGAAACACGCGCTAGTAATAATAATCATTAAAAAAAGAAGAAGACAAAACCCAGCGCAAGAGCGAGCGAAGATTCTTGCTCAAAGGATGAAGTCCGGATCCGCGCAACCCACCTGGCGGGATCCAACCGCCCCCAAACCTTCGCACCTTTTCTTCCCACCTCGGGGCGAACCCCAACTGCAGAAAGCAGCGCGGGGCTCCAAGGTTTTCAGGCAGTTGCCGCCCTGCGCTTCAGTCCTCCAGCTATCCCACCCACCGCCGACCAAAACTTTTCAGGGGAAGGCGGTCCGCCTCGTGCCGGCCGAGGCGAGGGGCTTCGGCCGCTCGCCCAGCTCCCAAGGCTTTCCCGGTTCTTGGCCTTCCGAAGCCGCTTGCCTGCTCAGAGCAAGTCTCGGGCGCCGACCGCCGTCTTTTTTTCCCCTCCGCGTCTCCTCCTGCGGCTTTTTTTGAAGCGCGGCAGCGGCAGCGGCAACGGCGGTGGCGGCGGTGGCAGCAACAACTACTCCCCTTCATATTTCCCTTCCCAGCCGCAACCCCAGAAGGGAGGGATCTGAGGTGGCCCGAGGCGGGGCGGGGCGGGGCGAACAGCTTGCCGCCTGAAACCAGACACCCTTGACTTGAAAGGAGACTACAAAGAGCGGAGAGGCTGCGAAGGGAGGATCCGGCAGTTCCTGCCCAGGCTGCGCTCCCGCTTCAGTCTTCCTTTGATCGTGGGTACCAAACAAGTCGGGGCCTAACAGCGGATGACGTTAGAGCCAGATTTTGAAAAGGAGGGGTCCACCCCCCCATTCCTCCCCTCAGAGGGGTAGCCCTTTTGCTGCAAAAGAACAACAGCGAGGAAATGTGGCATCTTTAAGCTAATAGATTTCACTATATATATACTCCAGAGAAAAAGACGACCCTGTGCCTTGCTTCATGCACACCTACGGAGAATCGCTTGGGGGAAACTCCAGAGCTTCTCTGCCCTTGCTGCCCTGGGGGTTGTGTCACGGGTCGAGAAGATACAAAAGTGTGCAAGCAGCGGTGGGCTCCGTTGTTCCCTAATTTGGGTTCTCTGTCTGCAGGGGGCATGGACCTACCGAGTTTCTGGCCAGGGAAGCAATCTTCTATTATCCAAGCCTCTGACTGAGAAGGAATGAAAGTGATTTTTTTTTTCTTGTTGAGGCAGAAGTGAATGAGTAGTCTTCTTTGAGGATTGTGTAGCCCAGTCTTGCCCCAGAGTGCGAGATGTTCATTGTTGAATAAGCACTTATTTGCACCACACTGAGAGTTGGTTAGTACAAATGTAATAAATGCATAATTTTTAAGGAGATGCCGTAAATCCCTCTTTATCTGTTATAGTGGGAAAACCCACATTTTGTCCCAGGATTATTGATGAAGGCTACTTGGAGTTGAGCCAATTCATACCCATCTCCATATGGTGTTCTTGGTGAAAGTACAGAAATGATTTGCTACTGTCATCTTCTGAACCGTGGGGTTGCTATCTTCTATAAAAAGTCCTTACATCTAAAAAACATCCAAGTTACCCAAGAGCTTGCTCTTCCTGATACCATTGACTGTGAACTGTCCTTAAATATCACATTTTGATTCTTACTATGTTACAGAGCCCCTGATTATGACATCGAACATGTAAACAAGCTAAATTCACTACTAACATGGGCAACATCCTGCCCACACGCTTTTATCTTTCTTGGTGACTTCAATTTACCTCACATTAACTGGACCCTAAACAAGTGTAAAACTGAACCCATACATGCAACTTTCTACAATGCTGTAACAAATACTTCAGCTTCAACCATAACAACACAAGAGCAAACAATAGATACAAACTCAAGGTTAATTGCACCAAACTTGATTGCAGGAAATACGACTTCAGCAACAGAGTGGTCAATGTCTGGAATACTCTACCTGACTCTGTGGTTTCTTCCCCAAACCCCAAAAACAGTTCTCATCTCGAATGATCTAAGTGCTAGATCCCACTGTAGCTACATAGCCAAGAAGGCATCATGAGTTGTTAACCTAATCCTACGTAGCTTTTTCTCTGGTAATATCACACTACTAACGAGAGCATACAAAACATTTGCTAGACCAATACTTGAATATAGCTCATCAGTCTGGAACCCACATTACGTGTCTGATATTACCACAGTTGAGAAAGTCCAGAAATATTTCACAAGAAGAGTTCTTCACTCGTCTACTCGTTGCAGAATACCCTATGCCACCAGAATTGAAATTCTAGACCTTTAAAACCTAGAACTATGCCACCTTCGGTCCGATCTAAGCATAGTATATAAAATTGTACCTTGCAATGTCCTACCTTGCAATGTCCTACCAGCTTCAACCATAACAATACAAGAGCACATAATAGATACAAACTCAAGGTAAACCGCACCAAACTTGATTGCAGGAAATACGACTTCAGCAACAAAGTGGTCAATGTCTGGAATACTCTACCTGACTCTGTGGTTTCTTCCCCAAACCCAAAATCTTTAACTTTAGACTGTCTACTATTGACCTCACCCCTTTCCTAAGAAGTCTGTAGGGGGCGTGCATAAGCACACCAACATGCCTACTATCCCTATCCTATTGTTTCTTTTATTTTTCTTATATGTACCCATGTATTCATAACTATGCTTTTACTTATACCTATTATCTTGTAAGCAATTGACAAACCAAATAAAATAAATAAAAAATAAAAAAACTTCCCAGTCCATCAGATATTAACATGTTCCAAACTTCCTTAGCAGTTTAAAACAAACCAGAAATGTTGTCATCTAGATAATGGATTATAGTAGTACATGCAACATAGCAGGTAATTAAAGATAAATATCTTCCCACCAAGTTTCTTTATCTACAGATAGGCCACATTAATTGGATGCCCTGTAGTTTTACTTATATATTATTCATTCATTCATTCATTCATTCATCAAATTTGGTATAGTTGCCAATTCTAGGCAGTGCACAACATTATTTTAGTGTAATAGGTTAATCCAAAATATACTGTTTCTCAAACTGATATTGAATCCTTATCACCTTATAGACCTCCAAATAGGTTTTAAGAAAATATTCCATTTTCTGCCATAAAGCTAATACAAAAAAGCTAAACTTATGGAAAGTATCTTCCCAATTTTATCACTTATTATTAAGGAGACAACCACATAGACAAGCAACACTTGTCTATGTGGTTAGGGATAGAGACTATAGAAAGAGACTTAAAGCTTACTCATTTTAAAAAATAATAGAATTTTGTAATCCACGGATAAGTGTTGGATTAAGAGGAGGGAAAGCCAGTTTCTAGACCATCCTCAATCATGGATGCTCACTAGATAATTTTGGACTAGTCATACCTGCTCAGCCCAACTTTACACACTGGATAGTTTTAAACTGAAAGATGGTTTTTATTTGTTGGTTTTGTTGTAAAAATAAAAAAAATGGAAAAAATAGGAAAAAAGATTGCTATTAACTTTTAGATTTAATGTCTTTAGTATTCCATTGGTATTTTAGAAAACATCATTGTCTCATGTTTTATAACAAAAAGAACCTACAATGATACTTTGGTACTCAACTGCTTCAAAGCTCATTGAATTTGGTACTCAATGCATTTTGACATGAAAATGTTGTCCCAATATTCATTGTTTGCTCTTTGACATGCTACAAAAGGAAGTGGGGGACAGCTGGAGAAAGTGGACAAGAAGTCAGCCATGCTGAGAAGATTGCTGCAAAAGGAAGTGGAGAACAGCCACAGAGGGCACACAAGAAGTCGGCCATGCTGAGAGAGTTGCTGACATAGGAAAAAAGACAGATAGGAAGAATTTCCAGCTGAAAGAAAGGGTCATGTGGTAAGTCACATGGTTTGTTGCGTACTCATCCTTTTTAGTACATGTCGCGCCTCATGGAACCAAGGACAAGTGCCCAGGTACCAGGTATTATCATAGTAGTCTACTTCATATTCTCACCCAATATATCTTGACCCAAAGCAAATGGCTGTCATGATTTTATCCAATGGTTTTAACCTCATGTACAGTATATTTCTCATATTAATTTGGGATACATTACTATTATTCAGAAAATGAAATTAGCTCAATAATGTATCAAAAATATGTACTGTAGCATGGTACAAGTGCTTGTTTCAGTGTTTATATACATTCAAAGAAATTTGAATTCAATTTTTGCATACCTCTATATCAACACAAATGTACAAAATGAGATGGCACACATTTGTTTATCAAATTTATTTATCAAATTGTTTAAAACTGCCCATCGTTTTAACAGAGGGATTTTGGGCAATGTACAAAAATATTAAAAACACGAAAACCATATATAAAATTTAAAACGTTATTACTATTGATTTTTCGATCTTCTATATCACAGTTCAGATAATATTAAATACAAGGTAGTCACATCAACTTTAAACTATCATTAAAATATTCAAAGATGCAAAGTGTTTCTGATTCATATTTCTCTGTCTTCTATACAAAGACTTAGAAATATATGGTTTAGAGGGCAAAAGATGAGAAGGAAGAACAGGAAACACCTGTTTACTCTTATGGGTTGGTACATAAAAGACAAGATTCTGTGCCACAGCAAATAAGAACTGTCCTTCAAAAATCTTTCCAATATTGATTATTATTGTGCCTCTTCATTTCCAGAAACAGGACAAAAGTCTGCCTTTCATCCTGACAGGATGGGCTTGGATGCCTGATAACATTTTAATTACCCTATTTTAGTCGAATATAAGTTCTCTATCAATTCTCCAATATATTGTCTTTTGTTCAGCTTGTCATAAGTGGATTCTCTGGTGATGGCAATTTAATGCATTCTAGGTGAATTGATTTCTACTTTTAGCTTCAGATGGTATGACTACCTATTAAATTATAATAATTTGTAATATACAATAATATAATAAATTATTTCTTTTTCTACTTTTGCAAAATGTCAAGATGTTACATCTGTTAATAGAAATGGAAATACTGATCTTCCCTTGTGTGCTAATGTGACTTCCTCTATTCCTCGGCCATAAATGTAAAGTTTTTAAACACAAATGGGCAATACAGTTCCCCAAGGTGATTTAGACATAGCTCCCACAGTTATTTGCTACTAACTGTGCTGTTGGGGTAAATTTAATAAATATTATTCTTAGCTTTAAAACAGAGTGATTTCACTGAGCATAGTTGTCTCACATCTGAGTTAACATATAGATGATGTAACTGTAATGCAGCAAGTCTCTTACTAGCCTATAGCCAATTTAAAACTAACTAACAGTTTCATTGTGCAAGAATAGGTAGTATCCTGAATTGTATTAAATGCTGCCACTTTTAATTTTTTTATGATTTGTAATGGTTCTAAGAAAGTGATGCCGGGAACACAGCTAGCCTTATTGCAATTGCTGACTTCGTTTTTCATTTGAAGATATAGTATTTAATATTTATTTACAAAAGCCCATATATAAAGTACAACTTAAACAAAAAGCAGCAAGAAGATAAAGCACATTAAATAATTGTCAAAATATATAGC